CTCCTAGAAGAAAATATAAGAAAAAGCTTCTTTGTATTGGTCTTGACAATAATTTCATGGATTTGACACTAAGGCATAAACAATAAAAGCAAAAGTGAACAAGTAGGAGTACATCAAACTAAAAAGCTTCTGTACAACCAAAGAATGATCAATAAAATTAAAAAGCAACCACAGAATTAGAAAAAAAAATTTGCAAAGTACATATCTGATAGGGAGTTGATATCCCAAATATATGAAGAACTACAACTCAATATCATAAAAGCAAATAATCTGATTTAAAATGAGCAAAGGAGCTGAACTGACATTTTTTCCAAAGGAGGCATTCAAGTGAATAGCAAACACATAAAAGGTGATCAACATCACCAGTTATTAGGGAAATGCAAATCAAAATCACAATGAGATATCACCTCACACCTGTTAAAGTGGCTATTATCAAAACAACAAGATATAACAAGTGTTGGTGAGCATGTGAAGAAAAGGGAATCCTTGTTCATATCAGTGGGAGTGAAAATTAATACAGCTACTATGGAAAACAGTGCGGAGGTTTCCCAGAACATTAAAAGTAGAACTACCTTTTGATCCAGCAATTCCATCCCTGGGTATATATCTAACGGAAATGAAATCACAATCTCAAAGAGATAGCTGCATCCTCATGTTTATTGTAGCATTATTTACAATGACCAAGACATGGAAACAACCTAAGGGTCTGTTGACAGATGAATGGATAAATAAAATGTGACATATATATACACATTTATACACAATAGGATACTATTTTGTTATAAAAAAGAAGGAAATCCTGCCATTTGTGACAACAAGGTTGAACATTGAGGGCATTATGCTAAATGAAACCAGTCACAGAGAAAAGCAAATATTGTATGATCTCACTTATATAGGGAATCTAAAAAAAGCTGAACTCATAGAAACAGAGCATATTGGTGGTTTGCAGGGCCCAGGGATAGGTGGCATGTGGAGTAAATGAGTAAAGGTAGTCAAAGGATACAGACTTTTATTTATAAAATGAATGAGTCCTGAGGATGTAATATACAGCATGGTGACTCTACCTAACAATACTGTATTGTATATTTGAAACTTGCTGAGAATGTAGATCTTAAAAATTCTCACCCCCCCAAAAAATAAATGTAATTATGTCAGGTGATAAATGTGTTAACTAAAGCTTACTGTGCCAATCATTTAACCATATATAGATATGTCAAATCATTATGTTGTAAACCCTAAACTTACAATGTTATATGTCAATTATATCTCAATAAACCTGGAAAAACTGAAAAATCAACATCACTAAGTTTTATCTGCAGCAGTTACATTTACGGGAAAGAAAAAAAGTTACTTGATGGCAGAGCCTAGAGCAGAACTAGAACTTGCTGCATGGTGGAGCTGCATTTGTCAAGTGAAGAAACTGAGACTCAGAAGAGACTTTTTGAAATACTTAAACCTTTTTTTATTTCAAGTTTTTATTTAAATTCTAGTTAGTTAACACATATAGTAAAATTGGTTCCAGGTACAGAATTTAGTGATTCATCACTTACATATAATACCCAGCGCTCATCACAAGGGCCCTTCTTAATACCCATCACCCATTTAAACCTATCCCCTGTCCACCTCCCTCCATCAAGTCTCAGTTTGTTCTCTATAAGAGAAAAAAGAGTCTCTTATGGTTTGCTTAGGGTTGTTAATAGTCTCTTATGATTTGCTTCACTCTCTGGAAAAGAGACATTTTAGGTCACACAGGAGAAGGTGCCACTCAAGAAAAGAAGGTAACTTAGGATGATATACATAATTTCCCTTGGCTGTTTGATAATTATTTGAGAATATATACAGCAGAACTTTTAAAAGTGTGGTCCCTGAGTCATGAGCCTGAGAATAACTCTTAGTGATTAGTGAGTATTCCTAGGCCTTGCCCCAGGAGATTCAGATTCAGTGAGTCAAGGGATGTTCTTATGTCATAGTTTTGAAAAGTGATGATGTATATATGACCACTTCTCTCTGTGATGCATGGCTTCAGATGTTTCCAATATCTGTCTTCTGGGCCTCTTCATGTATGGTCTTTGTTTCCTGGATATGGGTAAATATTATTGATGTCTTTACAGGAAACTGATGGAGTAATTAGTCTGCAAGACTTTTACTTTAAATCACTTATTCTCCAAGTGTGGTCTCTGAATCAGCAGCATCAGCTTCACCAGGGAACTTGTTAGAAATACAAATTCTCAGGCCCCATCTTAGACCTACTAACTTAGGTCTAAGGGAATGACCTAGTACTCTGTGGTTTAACATGTCTTCCAGGTGATTCTGATACATAATTAAGTTTAAGTATCACTGATTCAGGGGTGAACTACCACTGCCTGGGGAGCTCAGTAGGTTAAGGGTCTGACTCTTGATTTCAACTTAGGTCATGATCTCACAGTTCATGAGCCCTGCATCAGAGTGCAAAGCCTGCTTGGATTCTGTCTCTCCCTCACACTCTGCCCCACCCCTGCTCATGTGTGTTCTCTCCCTCTCTTTCTCAAAATATATAAACATTAAAAAAAAAACACTGCTTTAGATAAATGGTTTACCACTTAAAATGCTTTTGAGGCTGGGATAGCACAGACTTTATCCTTTAAAGGGTAAAGCATTTCTTCAATTAAGCCGACCATTGTCAAGAGCCTGTTAAGTCTAAGGATCTGTATATGGAATATGGGAGACAAGGAGAAGAGAATTCTGTTCTCCAAGGACTTATAGATTCATATAAGGAATAAGGCAAGAATTCAAATGAGTGACTTTGTGACTCTGTGAAGATCTTAAGAAAAGAGGGTTAAAAAGAGGGAGAGCCACATTTTAAGGTGTGTATTCAGCCTTTACAGGTCCTTGTGCTGTACATTCTTCTGCTTCTTTAAGCAGTACTTACCTAGAATGATCCATGGGCAGAGTACCATTGTTGGAGATTGGAAATAAAGTTAAAAATAATAAACTCTGTTTAGTGAGTCATAGAAGGGAAAATGTGTATTGCACATGCTTCAACCATGATAGGTTTCTCTACAGCTAGGTTTTGAATTCAGATGTATTTTCACAAAGGCTGGGCCTGAATTGTAAGAGGACAAGCAATTGGTAAACAGAGAATTAGTGGTGGCAGGGACAGATGTGGGAGAGAATAGAAAGGAGCTGCATTATTATTATTATTATTATTATTATTATTATTATTTATTTTTATTACCACCATATTGACAAAGAGGATATGAATATTTCTTCCTTTGATCTCTTGCTTTACATGGGGGGGTGGAGAATGATGTGGTTATGTCTTCTGAATCAAGCCCTGGACTTTTCCACCTGCTTCAGAACCCCAGGTTTCCCAATCTAAAGTAGGCTTTCTTATAAGAGAACTGCCTATGGATATAAATGCTTTTTCTTGGTACCTGGCTGTTCCAGTGTCCTGAACCTAATTCATTCTGATTCATTAGACATCTTGTTGAATACATGACAATTTAAGTTTACTTTTCTATTTTCCTAGAGACAGCAGTGGAGCAAAAACTGGAAGCCAGGGTCTTTCCCTCAGCCTCAGCTCAGACTGTATCTGTGCACAGTAAGTTTGACAGATTGTAGTTCAGCTCCTCTACTTCTATAGTTAAACTTTGTAATCAGTAGCTACTTCCACAGGTTAAATGGTTGTCTTCTCATCCACATCCTTTGCAAAGGTAACTTAATTACTTAGACAGTGCTTTTACACATTTATCCCATTAATGTACACAGAGAGATATGGCCTTAATTACCAAGAATATAAAAGGGCAAAATGTCTTAAAGAAATAATATATGCTGGAAAAAAAGGTGCAGGAAGTTAATCAAAAGAGAAAAGTCAAACAATTTCATTCCTGCTCCATCTGTGCAAAAGATCAAAAATCTCATTTAGTGTCATGACTTAAAATACTTATGACATGGCAGAGGTATGTGAGTTTTATAAATACCTTAAAATTTAATGAATTCACATTCACATCTGACAAAAATATCTTGCCCCTGGACACTTAAATACTTTGAAATATATTTTATTATTGGCTGTCCAACTTCCCATCTGTATGATCTTGGGCAAATGATGATCTTTTGTGTTTCAGTTTCTTCATCCATAAAGATGGAGATAATATTTACTTCACAGATATGTCATGAAAGATAATTGAAGTATTCCCCATAAATTAGTCAATGGTGACTCTTAGTAGTTTAGCAATGCCTGGTTTAAACAACACCAACTGAAACAGGAGTCTAATCTATAAGGGTGGTAAACTGGCAATGTTAGAGATAGAGACAGTTCTGGTTCATTAAATCTTCTTTTTAATAGGTATGACACGGACTCCAATGTTCAATAAATTTTCCTTTTCAGTAATAATTATAATTAAGTCCTCAACTTGACTATTTCACTGAATATTTTGTTCTCTCCAGTAATATCAAATGGCGAGGAAACATCTCCAAAGAGCCAGGAAGGGATGCTGACATAACTCTGGTAACTAATTAAAGGCAAAAGCATTGGTTGATGGGATCACCAATTCCTCTGTTGTATAACTGTATATTCTACCTATGGGAACAACATTCAGGTTTCTGTAGCAAACGTTTAAGTGTAGAGAGCTGAATGTGGGTCATCAAATAATAGCAGTTTAATCCCAACATGGAAACTTTTTCCACTCTCTGCTTCCCACAATTACCTCCACAGTATATTGGACACAATTATGAAACATGGAATGGGTTTGCATATGCTTAAGACAGCTATTGCAATATAGAATTGAGCACAGGAAGTGTTGAACGTGTTAACTACTGCTCAAAAAACTTCCAGTGGTTGCACAAGAAAATATTTTGCAGGGATATTGACTTGAGGTTTTTGTTTTTATGCCTCTGAGCTGATAATAAAGCCTTTGAATAAAAGATAAGGCTATGGAAAAGCTTGCTGTAAAGACGGGATCACCTCAGATTGTCTGGGTATCCATGCATTGAAGATACCACCACAGTCTGACAGAGAGTATGACAGAGGGCAGTGCTCAAGTGCTTGGACTTTGGACTCAGACCAACCTGGTACATGATTTTCCACATACCAGCAGTGTCATCTTTGGACAGGTTACTTAGTTTCTCTGTCTCTTCTCCTACCTCATCTAAAAATGAGGCTAAAAAGAGTCTATACCACAAAAGGTTATTGGGAAAATTCAGTTGAGCTAAGCAGACCATGGAGGAAATATATGTTCCCATCCTCATGGGCTTAATACAGGGACAAACAGTTTTGTATAGAGATAGGAAAAAAAAGTGCAGAGCAGAGGAGGGGGCTTTGTAGAAGAGGGCTGGGAGAAGATTCATGCAGACCAGTAATGTAATGCAGTCCCCAAACAATATGTAGAGCTAGCTATATCTCTACATTAATTTGGTACTGTAGGCAGAGGTCTGTTCAAAATGTTTTTATGGAAGCCACAGGAAGCTTCCATCAATCTGATTATTCCTTGCTTTCTAATTGGCTCATGCCAAATAGGAAGAGTATCCAATCACATTTAACATGGTGTAGTTTATTTGCAGGCTTTGTTGCATTACATTTTACCTAATTAGATATTGAGTTTACTCAATAACTCATGTGAATACAAGGCCTATAAATACACCCTACCCTGTCCCCAGGCGCTGATGTTTTTCCAAGGTACTGAAAAGGTTTTTACACAATACCTGGACTTTCTGCTAAATTTTCTATGTAACAACAAGGGATCTGATGAAGATGCCTCTAAAACCCTGAAGGAATAGAAGCAAAATACATGTTACTGAGACAATTATTTCATCTATGTCTACAAGGCTCTGAGACAGGTGTATCATCATTTTATGAGGCCAGGTATAAAATGAACTCTTTTCTTAATAGTATTTTCCAGTACATCTCAGACAAGCCTCACCAGTTGTCTCATTACAAAGACTTTTGACTACCACCTTCAAGGGGGTCCAAACAGCTGGCCAGGGAGCTGGCCAAGAACACTAGATCTGAAGGCAAAAATTCTGTCACCAAGAACAGTAGCTGTAAGTGAAGTGTACTCAGAGGGATCTGAGCATCAAAAACCAAAAGCTATTTTTGGAACCACCTAAGTTTTCATAATAAGAACTGTAGCCCAGTAGAGTTTTATCTACTTCACTTTTTGGACTTGTGATGACCTGATGATTTTAAAATATCGTTTTCTTTCACAATGAACTAAGTATTATCAGCTTTAGTTTAATGTGTCTATAGTGCAATTTGCTCAAAGGAAATAGTGAGTTTGTTCCATAATTGATTTGCTAAATAATGACATCCTCTTTATCCATTCATCCATTGATGGACATTTGGGCTCTTTCCATACTTTGGCTATTGTTGATAGTGCTGCTATAAACATGGGGGTACATATGTCCCTTCGAAACAGCACACCTGTATCCCTTGGATAAATGCCTAGTAGTGCAATTTCCGGGTCATAGAGTAGTTCTATTTTTAGTTTTTTGAGGAACCTCCATATTGTTCTCCAGAGTGGCTACACCAGCTTGTATTCCCACCAAAAATGCAAAAGAGATCCTCTTTCTCCGCATCCTCGCGAACATCTGTTGTTGCCTGAGTTGTTAATGTTAGCCATTCTGACAGGTGTAAGGTGGTATCTCATTGTGGTTTTGATTTGT